GTGTGGAGTAACTTGCCCACCACGATTACCCAAAATCATAAACAAAATAAACTACTGAAACTGTACATATTATGGTAAAGTTTCCCGTATGCTCTGGCATTATGCTCCCCAAATGTTGACTGCAAATATCCAAGAAGGGAAAACAAAATTAAATCGATTTACATAAAGGGCCGTCGTTAAGGAGATTACCTGTGAAGACACGGATATAGCAGCCATGAGAAGGGGGTTATATAGAGAGGTCTCTACACGTAGCCAGGTCAATGGTTAATATTTATATCGAAACTACTATTACTAACTGTTCAATTGCTGTTAATATGACAATCACAGTAAGTGTGATGTATTTAATATATGATTTCATTTTTCTGTCTCTGTCTGTCTGTCTGTCTGTCGTCAATCATCACTAACGAGTGTCTTTCTCTACACTTGCAGATGGGTCACCACAGTATGGACGGGCTGGAGATGCTTGACCCCATCTCCTCTTCGTCAATGACCACCCTGACCCCCATGAGTGATGGGGGCTCCATGCACCAGCTCCACGGCGCCGTCTACACCCACAGCCCCATGAACACTATGATGCCCCACCCGGGGCTCACACACCCACACATGCCACTCAGGTAACCCATTACTCTTCTCTCCAAGCTCACACACACACAGTAAGCATCCACCACCACCCACACCTACAACCACAACCCCACACAAACAACCACCAACACACCAGCACTGTTCTCACCGCAGGATGTAATCAGGCAGTGAGCCCGTGAGGGGTGCGCATAGCCCAGGGGGCAAGGGGCAAGGCGCTCCTGCTGGGGGTGGAAGCAGCGATCACACACACACACACACACACACACACACACACACACACACACACACACACACACACACACACACACACACACACACACACACACATACACACACAGAAGAGCAGAAGAACTGTGCCTCCCGCTCTCCATGGTGTATAACAAATCACTGGCAACAGGGGAACTGCCAGAAATTTGGAAAGCAGCTAACGTAGTCCCGATATACAAGAAAGGGGATAGACAGGAGGCACTGAATTACAGACCAGTGTCCCTAACCTGCATACCATGCAAGTTGATGGAGAAGATTGTGCGAAGAAAGCTAGTGGAACATCTGGAGCGAAAGAACTTTGTAACACAGCATCAACATGGATTCAGGGATGGCAGGTCCTGCCTCACAGGGTTACTTGAATTCTATGACCAGGCAACAAAAATAAGGCAAGAAAGAGAAGGGTGGGCAGACTGCATATTTTTGGATTGTCAGAAAGCCTTTGACACAGTGCCACACAAGAGGTTAGTGAAAAAACTGGAGATGCAGGCTGGAGTGAAAGGGAAGGTACTCCGTTGGATACAGGAGTACCTAAGTAACAGGAGACAACGAGTCAGTGTGAGGGGTGAGGTCTCAGATTGGCGAGACGTTACGAGTGGAGTACCGCAGGGGTCAGTCCTTGGACCTATACTGTTTCTGATATATGTAAATGATCTTCCAGAGGGTATAGAATCGTTTCTCTCAATGTTTGCCGATGATGCAAAAATTATGAGGAGGATTGAAACTGAGGACGATAGTAGGAGGCTACAAGATGACCTAGACAGACTGAGTGAATGGTCCAACAAATGGCTGTTGAAGTTCAACCCGAGTAAATGCAAAGTAATGAAACTAGGTGGTGGAAATAGGAGGCCAAACACAGGATACAGAATAGGAGATGAAGTACTTAATGAAACGAACAGAGAGAAAGATCTAGGAGTTGATATCACACCAAACCTGTCTCCTGAAGCCCACATAAAAAGAATAACGTCTGCGGCATATGCGAGGCTGGCTAACATCAGAACAGCGTTCAGGAACCTGTGTAAGGAATCATTCAGAATCTTGTACACCACATATGTAAGACCAATCCTGGAGTATGCGGCCCCAGCATGGAGCCCGTACCTTGTCAAGCACAAGACGAAGCTGGAAAAAGTCCAAAGGTATGCCACTAGACTAGTCCCAGAACTAAGAGGCATGAGTTACGAGGAAAGGCTGCGGGAAATGCACCTTACGACACTGGAAGACAGAAGAGTAAGGGGAGACATGATCACAACCTACAAAATCCTCAGAGGAATCGACCGGGTAAACAAAGATAAACTATTCAACACTGGTGGGACGCGAACAAGGGGACACAGGTGGAAACTGAGTACTCACATGAGCCACAGAGACGTTAGAAGGAACTTTTTTAGTGTCAGAGTAGTTAACGGATGGAATGCATTAGGCAGTGATGTGGTGGAGGCTGACTCCATACACAGTTTTAAATGTAGATATGATAGAGCCCAGTAGGCTCAGGAATCTGTACACCAGTTGATTGACAGTTGAGAGGCGGGACCAAAGAGCCAAAGCTCAACCCCCGCAAGCACAAATAGGTGAGTACAAATAGGTGAGTACACACACGAACTAACCAACTAACTCGCTAAAGAACGCAAACTTTAGTCCTCAGAACGCAATGAACAGGAAAGAAAGGGTGAAAATAGGAAGGAAGCAAGGAAAGAAGGAAGAATGGAGAGAAGGAACCAAACAGGAGTAAAAGCTGATATATCTTAGATTTATCTTGCATCTCAGCAGCGAGATCACTTACACTGCTAGAAGAGGAAGAAAGGCAGGGAAACGGGAAAGATATGAAAGGGTAGATGGGAAGGGGAAGAAAGGGATCTAAAATAAAGGGTAAACAAGGGAAGAGGGAGAAGGAGAAAGAGGGAGGAGAGAGGGAGAAGGGGAGAGGGAGAAGGGAAGGGTGCCTAAGAAAAGGGGTAAGAGCCCAAGGAAATTGGGCAGTGGTGGAAGAGAGAAGAGCCCAACAGCCCCCCCTAACCATAACCCTCACCACTCCCCTCCCCCCCCCCCAACTTGAACAAGACAGGTATGGACATAGCACACACCTGCTCTACCTGTTACCTTTCATCACGCTTCTCTCCTGATCAATAGTTCCCTTTATGGCCCCCCTACCTTTCCCCCTCTCATCTCTCCCTCCCTCCACCTGTATCCCTCCCATCTCTCCCTCCATCTGTATCCCTCCCATCTCTCTCCCTCCACCTGTATCCCTCCCATCTCTCCCTCCACCTGTATCCCTCCCTCCACCTGTATCCCTCCCATCTCTCCACCACAACAATCAACCTAACACCTCCTGTATCAACCTTCCACCAGTAGCGACCGTTTTAACCCCCTCCACCACACCACCAAGTATATTAACCACCACCATCCTACTTGAATACGCATGTCAGGTAGATGTAACAACGAGCGTACTGGTAACATACGCGCCGGGAGGAGTCGTAGAAAAACACGAAGATAAGCGTACATGGTGTATGCGTATGGCGTTCGGCTTGTAAGGGTTTTTGTCGAATCTATCAGAGGTACACGTTGTTGTTGTTTTAGATTTAACTACTCAGAACGAAGTGTCCATGTAGCACGGGCTATGGTGAGCCCGTGAGAGAGGTACACGCGACTAGTGCTAATAGATGGGTGAGCTGGATGAGGTGGGTGCAGGAGGGAGTCTTTGGGAGAAGGGAAGGGAACTATCAGGGGAAAGCGCCAAGCCATTACGACTATATAGCACTGGGAAAGGGTTCTTGATAAGGATTAGGAATGGGACGGGGAGGAAGGAATGGTGCTCAGCCACTTGGACGGTCAGGGATTGAACGCCGACCTGCTAGAAGCGAGCTACAAAACGGGTAGTAATATATATATATATATATATATATATATATATATATATATATATATATATATATATATATATATATATATATATATTATTAAATATGACCGAAAAAGTAAGATTAATAATTCTAACACGAATTTTCTCAATCTTTCGTACATTTCTTTTCACTGTTGGAGGTAAATAAAAATCAATTCTCCAAAATTCATTTTTATTTTGAATTTTATTTATAAATAAAAATGAATTTTGGAGAATTGATTTTTGATTTACCTCCAAGAGTGAAAAGAAATGTACGAAAGATTGAGAAAATTCGTGTTAGAATTATTAATCTTACTTTTTCGGTCATATTTAATAATATATGTCTACAGGAAAGATTGCTACCAAAATATACTAATATATATATATATATATATATATATATATATATATATATATATATATATATATATATATATATATATATATATATATATATATATATATATATATATGTCGTACCTAATAGCCAGAACGCACTTCTCAGCCTACTATTCAAGGCCCGATTTGCCTAATAAGCCAAGTTTTCATGAATTAATGTTTTTTCGTCTACCTAACCTACCTAACCTAACCTAACCTAGCTTTTTTTGGCTACCTAACCTAACCTTACCTATAAATATAGGTTAGGTTAGGTTAGGTAGGGTTGGTTAGGTTCGGTCATATATCTACGTTAATTTTAACTCCAATAAAAAAAATTGACCTCATACATAGAGAAAAGGGTTGCTTTATCATTTCATAAGAAAAAAATTATAGTAAATATATTAATTCAGGAAAACTTGGCTTATTAGGCAAATCGGGCCTTGAATAGTAGGCTGAGAAGTGAGTTCTGGCTACTAGGTACGACATATACATATATATATATATATATATATATATATATATATATATATATATATATATATATATATATATATATATATATATATATATATATATATATATATATATATATATATATATATATATATATATATATATATAACTGAAAACTCACACCCCAGAAGTGACTCGAACCCATACTCCCAGATGCATCTGGGAGTATGGGTTCGAGTCACTTCTGGGGTGTGAGTTTTCAGTTGCATATTGTCCTGGGGACCATTCAGGCTTGTTCGCATATATATATATATATATATATATATATATATATATATATATATATATATATATATATATATATATATATTATATATATATATATATATATATATATATATATATATATATATATATATATATATATATATATATATATATTAGATAATTTGTGGATAAAGTGAGAGTTAGCAGTGTTAGTTTATTTATTGTGCACTCCATACCCATCCCGTGGGTGGTGGTGGTGGACCCCATACCTATCCCGTTGGTATGGGGGGGGGGCGGTCCACCACCACTATTCTAGCAGTACATCATTTTGAATGAAGTACTTAAACCTTAGCAGTGCCAGCTACCCTCCTTGTCACAGTTATTACCTAGTAATAACTGTTGTTAGTAAGTACTGTCTAGGGCATCATTCTCCGTTTTGCACATCATGTATGTTGCTAGACATGTGTGTGTCCTGTTGAGAGGAGCCGTTGCTCTAGTTCTGCCTGGTTACTGCTTACTGTTGAAGAGCTTTGCTGCTGTTCTGTATTCCTTAATGGAGTATATCAAGTATTTAAGGTTTAGGCAAGAGTCAGTGATTAGCGCTCGTCTTCAAGGAACTTGCTGACTACATATCCTACAAGTCTTGAGAAAGACTCAATGTCTCGTTTTCTACTATTGTCACAGAGAGTAAAAGTGAACGATGTCGTTCACCAACAACAGCAGTAAAGACACAATTGGTAAAGGAAGGCATGACAAGTAAATTGATACACGACAGATTACTGATCAATAACTTGATCGACAATGTTTACAAAGTAGTCTATATATATATATTTAAATAATATATGCTATCTAATGGTTTTTCTCTCCATGTCTATAATATGTGTGTATGTGTTTTCCTCTCAGCATGCACGACACAGACACAGACCCCCGGGAACTGGAGGCCTTTGCCGAGAGGTTCAAGCAGCGGCGCATAAAGCTTGGGGTGACACAAGCGGACGTTGGGAAGGCGCTGGCCAACCTTAAGCTCCCTGGTGTGGGCGCTCTCTCTCAGTCCACCATCTGCAGGTACCTCCCTCCCTCTCTTATATTCTTCTTCCTCTATCTCCCTTCTCCTCTACCCGCTTCTTTCTCCACGCTCAAGCTCTTATTCTCTTCATTCGCCTTCTCTTTCTTTTCCCCCCTTCTCTTGTTCTGCTTCATCTGATTTGTTCACTTAACACATTTTTGTTTTTGTTCTGTTGTATACAAGGAAACTCTGACGATTAGTTCTTCTGGTGACTGTCGGTCAGTACAATATATATATATATATATATATATATATATATATATATATATATATATATATGTCGTACCTAGTAGCCAGAACGCACTTCTCAGCCTACTATGCAAGGCCCAATTTGCCTAATAAGCCAAGTTTTCATGAATTAATTGTTTTTCGACTACCTAACCTACCTAACCTAACCTAACTTTTTCGACTACCTAACCTAACCTATAAAGATTGGTTAGGTTAGGTTAGGTAGGGTTGGTTAGGTTCGGTCATATATCTACGTTAATTTTAACTAAAATAAAAACAATTTGACCTCATACATAATGAAATGGGTAGCTTTATCATTTCATAAGAAAAAAAATTGAGAAAATATATTAATTCAGGAAAACTTGGCTTATTAGGCAAATCGGGCCTTGCATAGTAGGCTGAGAAGTGCGTTCTGGCTACTAGGTACGACATATATATATATATATATATATATTATATATATATATATTTTATATATATATATATATATATATATATATATATATATATATATATATATATATATATATATATATGTTGTACCTAGTAGCCAGAACGTCCTACTCGGCCTGCTATGCAAGGCCCGATTTGCCTAATAAGCCAAGTTTTCCTAAATTAATATATTTTCTCTTAATTTTTTTCTTATGAAATGATAAAGCTACCCATTTCATTATGTAAGAGGTCAATTTTTTTTATTGGAGTTAAAATTAACGTAGATATATGACCGAACCTAACCAACCCTACCTAACCTATCTTTATAGGTTAGGTTAGGTTAGGTAGTCGAAAAACAATTAATTCATGAAAACTTGGCTTATTAGACAAATCGGGACTTGCATAGTAGGCTGAGAAGTACGTTCTGGCTACTAGGTACGACATATATATATATATATATATAAACAATCTTTGGACAACACCCACCAGTATATATATATATATATATATATATATATATATATATATATATATATATATATATATATATATATATATATATATATATATATATATATATATATATATATATATAATGTTTGTGTGTTAAGTGCGTGTGTTCATCTTTCTAGTCGTTTGGTATTTCTCCCCCCTCTAATGAATCATTGTAGTTAATATAAAAAATGTACATAATAGCTTTAGCTGCATTCCTTAGCATGCATAAAGAAAACTTGTCTAGACATGACAGTTTTGAACTATTGATAACTTATATACAATCGTTGAAAAACAGATTCAAAGGGAAGACACTGCTGAACAATAAAGATTTAGTCCTGTGAATCAGGACGAAGTATATACTTACATCTCCTGTTACTATTATTAACGCAATTTTTCTCCCGCTCTCTTTTTCCCACGTGCAGGTTCGAATCCCTGACCCTGTCTCACAACAACATGATCGCGCTGAAGCCAGTGCTGCAGGCGTGGCTGGAGGAGGCCGAAGCTCAGGCCAAGAACAAACGACGGGACCCAGAGGCGCCCTCGGTCCTGCCCATGGGCGAGGTAGATGATGTGAGGATGAACGGCAGTCACTTATCAGGGGCTAGGATTCCAACCTGGAGGGACGTCAGGGTTATTTGGGCTTCTAACCTTAAGAAAAATAGGGATTTGGGACTCCAGCTTTGGGGGATATCTGGGTTTAATGCCTTAACGAAAACGGAAAATAGGAAACAGGGCTCTAGCTTGAAGGGTATAAGGGCTAAATTGACTTGACATCGTATACAAATTAAATCTAGACTACCAGATTCCAGCGACATATATAATATAATACATACAAGCAGATATAATGTCTCTAAGCTCCATAGATAACGTGAATCAAGTCTGCAGCATTAAAGGGCACTTTAACCTGAAGGTATATCAGAGTCTAGGGAAACTAAACGTTAAAGCATAACAGAATTTACTAGTCCAATCCTAGAGATCAGGTCTAGAACTCAAGACATAATAGAAGATTAAGATTTATGAATTTACCTTTTGAAATTCTTACTATTTTATGTCACCCATAAGGACAATCAGATTCAGGTACCCAGCATTAAAAAGAAATATAGTTTACGGTTCACGGCCGACACTCTGAGTTACCACTTGTACGAGGCGTATTGGGGGGGGGGGATGGGTCTAAGGTAAATCCTTCAAGAATTTGATTAGAAATGAGGATTTACTAAGGCAAAGTTGGAGAGTTTATTTAACAATGAGTGAGGGGGGGATTTACTTACAGGGAGAGCAAGAAGGATTAATTACACCGATATGAGCGGAATTTTTTAGCACTTAAAGAGCAAAGGAATGGAAGGAGATTTACAAGAAATTGAAAATTTAAAGACTTAAAAGTAATTTAAAAACAAAATCTAAAGGGGTTAAGCAAATAAAAAGTAGAAAACCCATAAATTACGTAGTACCAAAAACTACCTTTTGCCAAATTCAGATCCAAGGATTTCTTACTACTCAGGTCAGTTCTAAGACCGGCCGGCTGCCCACCTCTCACATGGGTAACCTCATTAACCGGTGAGTAACCCCTGGGCCCATCTATTGCTTAGAAAGTTCCAAGGACTCTCCTATTCCAAGGACTCTCCCATTCCAAGGTCTTTCCACCACTCACTCCCGCCACACAGACATGCTCAAGGCTTCACCCACAGCCCAGCTGACCTCAACAGGTGTCCGAAACGGCAACGCATCGCTACCCGTTACAAATATGATTTGTGTGAACTAAATCCACTCCCGCCTGTCTCTCAGCTTTGATAGGGCGAATCTGGCCACCATTCACCGAGGTTGAGGTGTATACACTTTCTCAAAATGGTGGCACTTGGTTGTGTGGTGACCTTATACTTGAGGGGAAGTGGAGGGGGAAGGCGAAGGTGCAAGTGGTAGGAAAAAGAGTAAGGGAGAGAGTAGTGAGGGTAAAAGGAAAAAAATGAGATATTAAGAGGGAGATGGATGGCAGGGGAGGGGAGAGAGAGATGGAGAGGGGAGAGGGGATAAATACGGCGTGAGCCCAGGTGAAGTCGACAAGTGGTAAGGAGGAGTGTTGGTACTGTCAGCCTTATTGATCCCTACAAGAGGGGTGTTATTCCTCTGAACACCCACTCCTGCCACACCCTCACCATTCCTGCCACACCCTCACCACACCTGCCACACACCCTCACCACTCCTGCCACACCCTTACCACCCCTGCCACACCCTCACCACTCCTGCCACACCCCTCACCACTCCTGCCACACCCCTCACCACCCCTGCCACACCCTCACCACTCCTGCCACACCCCTCACCACTCCTGCCACACCCCTCACCACCCCTGCCACACCCCTCACCACCCCTGCCACACCCTCACCACTCCTGCCACACCCCTCACCACTCCTGCCCCACCCCTGCCACACCCTCACCACTCCTGCCACACCCCTCACTACCCCTACCACACCCTCACCACTCCTGCCACACCCTCACCACTCCTGCCACACCCTCACCACTCCTGCCACACCCTCACCACTCCTGCCACACCCTCACCACTCCTGTGACACCCTCACCACTCCTGCCACACCCTCACCACTCCTGCCACACACACCTTCACCACTCCTGCCACACCCTCACCACTCCTGTGACACCCTCACCACTCCTGCCACACCCTCACCACTCCTGCCACACCCTCACCACTCCTGCCACACACACCTTCACCACTCCTACCACACACACCTTCACCACTCCTGCCACACACTAACATAACATTACACTCAAAGCATAATGATTTAAAAGTAAGGCATAACTTTAATAATAAGATTATTATATTGTCATGTAGTTTTATATTTCACATTTAACATTCGTAATCATTCTTCCGCTTAAAGTATTCTCATGTATATTGTATACTCATTTTTCAAGTATTATTCCTTTAAAGTAGTCCTCCATTTAACATATTTGTATACTTAAAGTATTCACGATCAAAGTAATTTCAAGATGAATTTTCACTAATCAATTATCTGTCATGTTCTATATATTTGATAACATTTTACTGGACAAAATTCTTGTGTTAACGCATTGGCATCAGATATTTTCTTCGCTCTAAACTGACCTGGTCAAATGATGGAGAACACCGACAAAAACAAAGTGTGTGTTTGTGTTCGTTATTTATCAAAGGAGTATTGATAACCTCGCGGTGATACATCTCCCGTGACCCAGGCGGGCCCGCGCGCCCACCTGTTCATTACTTATAAACCGTGTAAATGAGAACACAGAATTGAACAGCTTGTGTAATAACCTGTTCACACACACACATACAATGCTTCAGCCCCTCAATATCTCGAGCTAGAAACGGTGTGTGTGTGTGAGTGGGTAAGAGTTATTGGGAAGGTGACCACCAACATACCCCCCTCCCCCACCCCAACATACCCCCCCTCACCCCACCCCAACATACCCCCCTCCCCCCACCCCAACATACCCCTCCGTCAACTAGGGATACTGAATCAATGGAGCCCCTGATATACCTCCGATTTACAGATGAAATCGATTAAAAACGTAACATTAAAACAGTTTTGTTGATCAGATATAAGTCATTAGTGCTTCATCTATACCAATAACATCTCTCCGACAACACACTCAAGAGGGATCACCGCTGTGGGAGGGGGGAGGATAGAAAGATGGTAAGGGAGGAGCGGGAGGGGAGGAAAAGGGAGAGGAAAAAGGTGAGGAATGGGAGAGGGAAAGGACTAGCCCTTTAGAATAGCCATGCACGAGGGGGACGCAAATGCTCGCCCCCTCTACTGAATGAAAGACCTTAATGTTATTACATTCCATAGTGTTGCATGACTCTAGAGATAAGGAGCCGCTGTAGAAATAAGACGCCTCTGTAGTAACAAGAAGCCACTGTAGTAATAAAGACCCGCTATAGTAATAAGAAGCCCCCCTCTAGAGATAAGGTCATAATCTAGAGTCTAGAGATTCCTTGGTGTTGTTGGTGCTGTATTCTCACCACTGTGAAGCACAACAATCTTATGAGAGCCACCCAGGAATGTCAAGTGTTGTGAGAGCCACCCAGGAGTGTCAAGTGTTGTGAGAGCCACCCAGGAATGTCAAGTTTTGTGAGAGCCACCCAGAAGTGTCAAGTATTGTGAGAGCCACCCAGGAGTGTCAAGTGTTGTGAGAGCCACCCAGGAGTGTCAAGTGTTGTGAGAGCCACCCAGGGAGAGTGTCAAGTGTTGTGAGAGCCACCCAGGAGTGTCAAGTGTTGTGAGAGCCACCCAGGAGTGTCAAGTGTTGTGAGAGCCACCCAGGAGTGTCAAGTGTTGTGAGAGCCACCCAGGAGTATCAAGTGTTGTGAGAGCCACCCAGACTAATGAAAGACTGTGAGGTGAGCAGTGTGCTTGACAAATCATGAGGCTCTGTGCTCGACACATGTTGTGTGTCATCGCGAGGCGGTATGCGTGAAACACTAGGCGAGTGTTGTGTAACTGAAACACCGTAAGGTGAGGGAATGAGTGAGTGAAACACCCGGATACACTCCCTGGGTAAGTTAGCTGTGAGGTATTCCAAAGAGCTCACTGTATAAACTGGTAGCTCTCTGTAGAGTACCAGTCATCCCGGTACATTCCGGTTGAGCTCTAGAATTGTATGTTAAGCGCCAGTCATCCCAGCATTGAACCAGTAAGTTCAGGCCTCAGCTCTCTGTCTCACCCATCCCGGTACAAACCCAGTAAGCTGGACCTGTGTGTCACCCACCCCGGTACAAACCCAGTAAGCTGGAGCCGTGTCCAATGTGTAGTTAGCGAACCACTCCTGGCATTTGTCAAATACTATACGACTAATATGGATATATATATTGTAACCGGATTTCTCTCTTGTTTTCCTGTGCTAATGCCTTGTTTTTCCAGTGTGTGTGTGTGTGTGTGTGTGTGTGTGTGTGTGTGTGTGTGTGTGTGTGTGTGTGTGTGTGTGTGTGTGTGTGTGTGTGTGTGTGTGTGTGTGTGTGTGTGTAGCATTATATTGTCCGCAGCCCCGTGTTTGGAGAGGCTATGACACATGTTTTCTTGTTGCTCCCAGAAGCGCAAGAGAACGTCCATCGCTGCGCCGGAGAAGCGGTCACTGGAGGCGTACTTCGCGGTTCAGCCGCGGCCATCGGGGGAGAAGATCGCCGCCATCGCCGAGAAGCTGGACCTGAAGAAGAACGTGGTCCGCGTCTGGTTCTGCAATCAGCGCCAGAAGCAGAAGAGAATGAAGTTCGCCGCCACCCAGAAGCAGATGGCGGGCGGCAACGTGCACAGCTCCATGGGATCCATGATGACTTCGCCCATGCCGCCACACACGCCTGTCCCATAGTGGATGGCCTCCCCTGGTGCCCGCCCGGCCCTGGACCTGCCCGCCCGCTCCGCCCATCAGCAACAGCAACAGCAGCAGGGGAATCGCCTATCACCTAATACCGTCGCCAACACCGCCCCGTGCCCGCCCACGCCCCGCCCGTTATGGACGGATCAAGGCGACGCAGGGGACAGGTGGGTGGCGCCAGGTCCCTCGTGGGCGTATAGCTACGCCTACGCTGCCGCCCACGCCCATCAGGCCACTCGCCAACTGACGCAGTGACGCTCACCGTGGGACGCCCATGGTGAGCAATGGGCGGAGGCGTACCACGAGCCTTGTCGTACATATCAGTGATATATATTTGTACGCTGCTTGGTGTATGGAGGCGGAGCCATGGGTGACACCGGAGGCACTCAAGCCCCGGCACTCCAGGAGTCCGTTGATGGTGGCCATGGCCCAGTCTGTGGCCTCTCTGGGGCCACACCAGGCCGCCGAGGGCCAGCGCTATGGCCGCATCATCGTCCACGGCATCAGGGGTTAATACGACCCTCTAGTGATGGGGTCACGGTGACTTATACAGTGCCCTTGCTCTCGATATGACCTGAAGTCAGCCTCGTTTAGGAAAGTAATGACCTTTTGGAGTCACTTGTAACGTTATTAAATTGGACTTGGAAAAGGAAAATAAAAGAAACATTTGTGATTTTTGACACTCTTCGAAGGCTTGACTGTGAAATCCGTGAACGTCAGGACACTTTGTACAAAATTAGTTTAAGTCTCCCCCCATTTATTGCATATGTTGAGTATGGTTAATGCTCTTATCCGGTGATATCACGTGAAACACTGTGTTGCTCCAGCCGGCCAAAGGGGTTCATCCCGCCACATGACGTGACCACCGATTTTGGGCCCTCTGTCAGAGAGCAACAAGGCTTATTTTCCAATGTTTCCACGGTATGGCTGAGGAGTAGGACTTGTAATTTCATAGGATTCTATGAAATGCTTTTTTTTTCTTTTAACCAAAGAAGTGTAAATATAATAATAATAATAATAATATATTAACTGTACTAAAGTTTACTATCACGGGATAGTAAACTAACTGGCACTTTTACGTGCATCAGAGCTCAAGGATTTTGTGACCTAGTCGTAGGTAGTTGTAGTTCTCCTTTACTGGTTTTGTTTCCCCTTCACGTGTTACCAATGCCGTCTGTTGTCGCCTGGAGAAGCAACCAACCAGGAAATATATCCATAAACTACGCCTCACTCGTCATGGACAGCTCCGGCCGCGCTCTCAACCTAAATCTTTTCCAAGTATTTTTTTAGTCATGTTATCTTTTTTTTAAGGTTTTTTGGCCTCCAAGTTCACAAGCAAACATACTCAATCTCCATTCTGATTGGCCAATCTCACTGGATGACGATACTGCTATTGGTCGCTTACAAGCGTCGTTCGATTGCGGTCACCCAATAACTTATTCCAGTGGGATATTATCGCTTGAGATCGGCAATAGCGCCCGATATTCACACTAGGGATCCTCAATATGGTCAAGTGATATACGAATCTTATTACCCGGGATCTTAATCAATACGATATTTGGACAAAAAAAGTTTTTTCGTCTTTAAGCCTTAGTCACGCAATGAAGTTGGAGTTCAGGCATTCGGACGAGGATGGTCAATAGCGTCCATGATTCGGTGGTGTTCGGGAGGAGGAGGACGAGGAGGGGGGAGGGGGATAGCCAGTCTTGAACTGTAGTACGTCCACTCTCCACAAGGGGAGGTTCCCTGCCACTCCATCACCAACACCACCACATAAGACAACATGAGCCTCCACCACATAAGACAACACGAGCCTCCACCACATAAGACAACACGAGTCTCCACCACATAAGACAACATGAGCCTCCACCACATAAAACAACACGAGCCTCCACCACATGAGACAACACGAGCCTCCACCACATAAGACAACACGAGTCTCCACCACATAAGACAACACGAGCCTCCACCACATAAAACAACACGAGCCTCCACCACATGAGACAACACGAGCCTCCACCACATAAAACAACACGAGCCTCCACCACATAAAACAACACGAGCCTCCACCACATGAGACAACACGAGCCTCCACCACATGAGACAACACGAGCCTCCACCACATAAGACAACACGAGTCTCCACCACATAAGACAACACGAGCCTCCACCACATGAGACAACACGAGCCTCCACCACATAAGACAACACGAGTCTCCACCACATAAAACAACACGAGCCTCCACCACATGAGACAACACGAGCCTCCACCACATAAGACAACACGAGTCTCCACCACATAAGACAACACGAGCCTCCACCACATAAAACAACACGAGCCTCCACCACATGAGACAACACGAGCCTCCACCACATAAGACAACACGAGCCTCCACCACATAAGACAACACGAGCCTCCACCACATGAGACAACATGAGCCTCCACCACATGAGACAACACGAGCCTCCACCACATGAGACAACATGAGCCTCCACCACATGAGACAACATGAGCCTCCACCAATAACTCCTCACCTCATGAGATATAATGAATGTTTCTACCGTTGTCTCCTTCAGTGAGCGGTCGTCAGGGAACGCTGCACGCAACACGCAGTCTCACTCAACACAATTCCAAACTAATTTATGTTTTTTTTTAAATCTGAGGAACTTAATGTGAGCCTAATAACTTTAGGTGAATTAACTAAATCAGGTTGAATGTAGCAGCGATGTTCAAGTTGGGTAAACAAAGAAACTTACCAAGTGAGACATTATTGAATCAGCAAAGTCCAAGTAAAGTCCTGATAAAGTCTCCTCGATCCAAACGTCGTCAATAAAGTCTTTCAAATTCACATGAGCGAAATAATGGCCAAAGAATTCTTTATAAAAGTTTAAAAAAAACTTTGACCCATAAAAATTTGAACAGAATTTATACAAGCAAAATGTCCCCCAATAAATATATCGTAAAATTCCCACCAGAGAAACAGTCCAATAAACTCTTGGCTTTAGTAAGTGCCTTTGTTTACCTCTCGACAAGAAGTTTATAAGTAAATTAAATCTTGTAGTCACACAAAGGTGAGAAAAATATATATATATATGACTTTTCAAAAGATTGTAATTGTGGGGGGAAAAGTTCTTATGACAAAAAAATACGTTGTTGGACTCGGTGTGATTATTCAGAGACAATATTCAAATAAAAATACAATCAATCGTGATTGTTAAATTTATGATTTAGACACAAACATATTTAATATATATTCGCTCAATTTACAATCTAGTCATCACGCAAAATACATATACTTGAAAAGTTCAACTATCAGTCTAGTCATCACACAAAATATACATACTTGAAAAGTTCAACTAGCAATCTAGTCATGACCCAAAGAACACAATAGCATTGATGGTGTGGCAGCGGCGGTGTGTTAGCAAGGGTATCTTCATGTCATTCGCAGCGTCTTCATGGCAGATTATCAGCGTCTTCATGGCAGATACGCAGCGTTCAATCCCAGTGGACTTGCAGGCGCGAATGACTAAGTGGTGTTTAAACATGCACAATGATATCTGTAATTCTGAGCTTTAATTCGTTGTAGTTTAACGAGTGTGTGTGTGTGTGTGTGTGGGAGCGCGGAAACAGTTCAACGCCTCGGTGACACTCGCTACAAGTGAGTGTGTGTGTGCGTGTCTGTCTTGTGCGATAGCTTGGCTTCTCCAAGAAATAAATACGTTGTTAAAAGTATGTTCGTGAGACGCAACAAATATAGCCGTTCCGGGATTCTCGTATGACGTAGGAAAATGAATCCGTTAGCGGGACGTTCGTATGACGAAGGGACGAGGAACGTGAGGCTGTTGTGAAGGGCGACCGAGAATAGGTCGGCCCCCCCAACAGCACCTCACACCTCGGCCTTCACACACAATAAATACTCTGCCTTTCTCGAATAAGAAATTATTTTATATGTAAATTATTTGTCTTATTTATTAACTATGTATAAACTCACTGTGAATAATAATAATAATAATAATAATAATAATAATAATAATAATAATAATAATAATAATAATAATTATGGACTTGTTGAGAATGCCATGGTGATAAACATATATGTTAGCTTATTGGAAGGGCTTCTCCCAGCTATCTTCCTGAGGACCACCGAGCTCTTCAGAAAACATAGTAACAAAGCCTGAAGCCTTTCCGAATTGTTGACACAGGGGAAGCGATACCCACTGGTCGCAGAAGCGGACGGCTGGAGAGGCCACAACGACCTCAGGAGGCAGAAGACGTTAGGTCTGGAAGCCGCAAGGACCTCTGGAGGCAGGAGACATTAGGTCTGGAAGCCACAAGGACCTCTGGAGGCAGGAGACATTAGGTCTGGAAGCCACAAGGACCTCTGGAGGCAGGAGACATTAGGTCTGGAAGCCACAAGGACCTCTGGAGGCAGGAGACATTAGGTCTGGAAGCCACAAGGACCTCTGGAGGCAGGAGACATTAGGTCTGGAAGCCACAAGGACCTCTGGAGGCAGCAGACGTTAGGTCTGGAAGCCACAAGGACCTCTGGAGGCAGGAGACATTAGGTCTGGAAGCCACAAAGACCTCTGGAGGCAGGAGACATTAGGTCTGGAAGCCACAAAGACCTCTGGAGGCAGGAGACATTAGGTCTGGAAGCCACAAAGACCTCTGGAGGCAGGAGACATTAGGTCTGGAAGTCACAAAGACCTCTGGAGGCAGGAGACATTAGGTCTGGAAGCCACAAGGACCTCTGGAGGCCGGAGACGGTAGGGGTGGAGAGGCGGCGAGGACCTCGAAGCTCACAAGAGCACTGAACAACACACCGACAAATTAAAGTTTTCAACGCTCGGGAGGCACACACAGACGGGAGTGATAAGTAATGCAAAGAGTAAATACATCTTCTAAAGGAAATCCTGTCACGTGTTTAAATTAGTAATGAATAAAATTAATTATTACCTGGGAAGGGAGAGCCGGCATCACAATATTTTCAGCCAGGCTTAAAATGTCATTTTCAGCGTATTCGGTATTGTTTTATTAAGCTTCAGTCCGGTGATTGACACTGACAAAGAGTGGTTTCCCGATCCCATTCTAATGATGGATTTTGAATTTTACATTTTTCTTACACATCTATATTGAAGAGAAACTAAGTTGAGCTCTACATGTCTGTAACATCAGAATTCGATATTTCACAAAGGTAATTAAATTCACTGACATTTTTTAAAAAAATCTGAAAATTCAGCATGGTTGTAAACTTTATAAACTGTTACAATTCCGGTATCTGAAGTCGCTGTAGGGAAAAAAAACTTTGCGTGGCGTTGTTCATTTTGGATTCGATGAGCGGTTGAGAACTTGGACGGTGTTAAGAGCCGGTTCTAGTGCATGCTTCTGACAAGTTCTGTTTGTCTGCCTTGTGCCGTGCGGGCAGGGGACCGTTTGCTTCCTCCACACTGACGTGAGACAAGCTCACTGCTTCACTCATAGCTGCTTCTCTGCTCAGGCTTCACCTGCTGAAGCCTGAAGGTGGCCTCTAGAACCCATATGAAGGTCTCGACCCGTCCCTGCTCTGTCCGGCCCCGCCTGCCCATACCCCCGCCACGCTCGGTTATGCCCTCACTATGCCCAGTCATGCCCTTGCTATACCTAGTTATGCCCTCGCCATGCTTTGTCACCTCCATATACGTTATTCTCCTCTAGATCTCATGCATTTTAATTTTCTTTCATAACTTCTCGTATTCTCGCTCATTTCAATTTCCTTTTCCCCATGATTTCACCCCCTTGCTCACTTCATTTATCTCTTCCCAAGTTTCTCCTTTCTATTCTCTCCATTTTCATTTGACTCTTTCCAAATCTTCCTTCCCTGCTCCTCTCTTCTCCTTTTACCTTTTCACCCTTTCTTATATTAGGTTATAGACACTCTTTCCTATTTCCTCTTCTTTTTCTAAAAATCCCTGTATCTTCCTTTCTTCCCCTCTCTCCTCTATATTCTAAACGTCATCCTCAATTTTCTCTTCACCTCTCCACGTCTCATCATTTCTCCTTCTCTCCCGTCTCTCTCTCTCTCTCTCTCTCTCTCTCTCTCTCTCTCTCTCTCTCTCTCTCTCTCTCTCTCTCTCTCTCTCTCTCTCTCTCTCTCTCTCTCTCCTCTCTCTCTCTCTCTCTCTCTCTCTCTCTCTCTCTCTCTCTCTCTCTCTCTCTCTCTCTCTCTTTCTCTCTCTCTCTCTCTCTCTCCGTGTCCCCTCAAAGAGCTGGCCGGGAATAAGCCACAAGAGACAAGATTTATCCACACTTGTATAAAGCATCTGAGCCATTACATCCCTCAGATGAGCGACCCTCTTAAGGATCTTTGTATGTGTCCCGAGTGAGACAGCTTTAGCATGGTGGGGGAGGGGGGCCCTGTCTGTGTGGGGCCCCCCCTTGTCTGTGTGGTTGGGTCTCTCTGTGCAGGCGGCACACTATAGGTGTTGGGCCCACTCGTCTGCGTGGCGGGGCCCCTTGAATGTGAGAAAGCTGTAATTTGTGTATTGGGGCCCCCTATCCGCCTTGATTGTGCGCGAGTCTTGGTTGGGGGTATGGAAGAGCTCCCGTCTTATGTAGTTGGGGCCTCGACAGGTATTTGAAGTGTGTGTAGATGGACCCCTATGTGTGTGCACGTGGGGGGCCCCCTTGGGCCCCGTCAGTATGTGAGACTCCGGCAGGCACAGGTTAAGGGCGTGAACAGTCGTCTCAAGCGCGCACTAATCCTTTTTCGGAGGGTGCGTTCCTACGCATGTTCATGAGGAAAATACATCATTCAAAATTTATTCTGCACATCTTACGTTCACGCATGGGACGTGCGGTTCCGAGCGCGGTCTCACGCATGGGACGTGCGGTTCCGAGCGTGCTATCACGCATGGGACGTGCGGTTCCGAGTGCGGTCTCACGCATGGGACGTGCGGTTCCGAGCGTGCTCTCACGCATGGGACGTGCGGTTCCGAGTGCGGTCTCACGCATGGGACGTGCGGTTCCGAGTAGTGCTTGAGGAGGATGAGGGTAGTCAGACAAGCACTCCAGTTTCTCCCGACCCGTCAATGGAAGAGTGACACGAACGCACGCACACATATCTACACGCAAGCACTTGCACACAAAGGCACGCATGCAAACACACAATTACACATAACTGAGTATACACACGCACACAAAATCATAAATACTAAATTTACGCACACACACACACTCACACGCACACACAAACACACACTTAGGCGGGATCCAAGAGCACAAATAGGTGAGTACACACGCACACACACACCACTGAAGGCAAAACCGTCTCGATCAAGCACTTGAGTGTATAAGATAGAACCAAGGATGCCTCCTTGCGATATATGCGTTGATGAATGTACTTTCTGTTGGTTTTCTTAATAGATCCATCAACGAGCTGCGGCATTCCGCACACAGTTGCGGACATCTTAACACTTTATAAACATATTTAAAGCGTCTGTTTATAAAAGAATTTTGGTCTGTTTGAGCTTCCCGGAAATGCAATAGTGAATAAAGAAAAACAGTCTGCGTGTGTGTGTGTGTGTATGTGTGTGTGCGCGTGTGTGTGTGTGCGTGCTACCCACACAACTGTATCATAGCCATGACGTTTTTTGTAAAGTATCTTCAAGACTCCAGCTTGGCAGAAGTTCCACCCCAGCTTTCAGACACTGTTTACACTCCATTGTTGATCACGGAGTCACGACACCCCTCCCCCCTCCCCCAGCCGCCTCTGATAGATACAACACCTTTAGCACATTCTTGGACAACTTTTAAGAATACTGTACTACCACGAGGGGCGATAACGAAGAGGACTACCGTGAATACTAAGAGGTTGACGAGACCATATATGTATGTCATGGAGCCCCACCGTCTCCACCCTTCCCCCTAACCCATGCATGACCTGGGGGGGAGGGGGAACCCACCCCACCCACTACCCAAAACCCCTCACAATCCCTGGGATCTGTGTGTAGGTATGGTGTGTGTGTGTGTGTGTGTGTCAAACATACACATGCGCGTACATGCGCAGTATACTCTGTATATAATGTAGTTCAAGGCTATAACACCTGAATTACACGCTAAAAACAGTACATTTCAACAAGCATATACGCTAACCATAAGGTAAATTACACATAAACCAGTAGATTGATTGTTAAAAGGCGGAGCACAGGAGATGGAGCTCAATCCCTGCAAGCTTTACAAGGCGATTACACGCACACACACACACACACACACACACACACACACACACACACACACACACACACACACACACACACACACACACACACACACACACACATTGTTTTTTTTGGTATTCCTGTATATGAGTACAACAGTACTGTATTACAAGTACTGAACAGTATATATATATAGTATATATATATATATATATATATATATATATATATATATATATATAGAAGGACTATGAAACAAATTTGGTACAAACATGTCACAAGAATTACAGTAATATACACAAAGAACACCTTACGTGTACAAAAACAGCAATCATATATTGGAAGCATATCAGGCAAAGCGTAGGAGTATACTAGAGGTATAGCAAGAACACAATGATAGGTAGAGCTCGGTGGTCAACCCACATCACCCATAATATGCCCCCCCCCCCTCACACACACACAATGTAGAGCAAGGTGGTGAGGTGGTGGTCACTGCTCTCACTGCCCCCCCCCTCCACAGGACACAGGACATCCTTAACCCCCCCCCCCTCACCAGTTCCATATGCTCCCATCACTCCCCGTCCCCCCCTACACACACACACACACACACACACACACACACACACACACACACACACACACACACACACACACACACACACACACACTGTGTCTCTCCAAACTTGACAGTTGTCTCCCCCCACTCAATAAATAAATAATAAGATATTCTGTTCTGGCATCATCAGTGTTTATGGTATAGGTTGTTTACAGCAGAACAATAATGAATTGTTGGTTACTAATAAAACTTTTTTGTAAATATATCTCTCGCTTTGAGTTTTATTGCCCCCCCCCTCCCCTATGTGTGCTCTGAAAGCACACATAGGGATGAAGAACACGGGGAACCAGATACAGAGAAAGCATTACTGCCTCTCCCGAGGTCAGGACGAAGTACCACAAGGCTCTCTCCTCACTCCCCCACTCCGGGTCGTGCTGGGTGAAACAGCATCAGCAAGTCACACCGTAACGCATTCACTTTGATGTATAAAGTATTTCCTAACCTGAGTAATTCGATCAGCTCTTATGTAGTAAGGAAGCTGATTCACAAAGACATGAGGATGGTGGTCATACTCACTGCCACACAGGACAGTGAGGATGGTGGTCATATTCACTGCCACACAGGACAGTGAGGATGGTGGTCATATTCACTGCCACACAGGACAGTGAGGATGGTGGTCATACTCACTGCCACACAGGACAGTGAAGGTGGTGGTCACATTCACTACCACACAGGACAGTGAAGGTGGTGGTCACATTCACTGCCACACAGGACAGTGAGGATGGTGGTCATACTCACTGCCACACAGGACAGTGAGGATGGTGGTCATACTCACTGCCACACAGGACAGTGAGGATGGTGGTCATACTCACTGCCACACAGGACAGTGAGGATGGTGGTCATATTCACTGCCACACAGGACAGTGAGGATGGTGGTCATATTCACTGCCACACAGGACAGTGAGGATGGTGGTCATATTCACTGCCACACAGGACAGTGAGGATGGTGGTCATATTCACTGCCACACAGGACAGTGAGGATGGTGGTCATATTCACTGCCACACAGGACAGTGAGGATGGTGGTCATATTCACTGCCACACAGGACAGTGAGGATGGTGGTCATATTCACTGCCACACAGGACAGTGAGGATGGTGGTCATATTCACTGCCACACAGGACAGTGAGGATGGTGGTCATATTCACTGCCACACAGGACAGTGAGGATGGTGCTCATATTCACTGCCACACAGGACAGTGAGGATGGTGCTCATATTCACTGCCACACAGGACAGTGAGGATGGTGCTCATATTCACTGCCACACAGGACAGTGAGGATGGTGCTCATATTCACTGCCACACAGGACAGTGAGGATGGTGGTCATATTCACTGCCACACAGGACAGTGAGGATGGTGGTCATATTCACTGCCACACAGGACAGTGAGGATGGTGGTCATACTCACTGCCACACAGGACAGTGAGGATGGTGGTCATATTCACTGCCACACAGGACAGTGAGGATGGTGGTCATACTCACTGCCA